CTCACTATTTCTTTTCCATTGCTGTGTAAAATGTGCATTTCATATATAGCCACATTATATAAGCTTCCATGCTCCTTCCATCACTAAAATAATGTGTATAGTTTTATAAATAAGGTTCTTATAAAGTGGATTCCTATTATCAGTCTAGTTGTTAGGTATCCTTTAAGTATCTTTATTTTTAGGGATCCCTGGGTGGCGCAGCGGTTTAGTGCCTGCCTTTGGCCCAGGGCGCGATCCTGGAGACCCGGGATCGAGTCCCACGTCGGGCTCCCGGTGCATGGAGCCTGCTTCTCTTTCTGCCTCCCTAAAAGTATCTTTATTTTTACAATACAAATGATAATGGGAAAGATTACTTTTAAAATTTTCCTTGTAATTTCTGCTACAAGTATTTAGGAATTGTTTCTCTTTTCTATCTTTTGCAATAATGTATTTTAAATGTTTAATTTTGTTTGATGTTAAATATTATCACTTAAGGCAAAATTAACAAAACTTAAAGAAAAATTTAAAAGGAAGTATATTCGGGGATCCCTGGGTGGCTCAGCGGTTCAGCGCCTGCCTTTGGCCCAGGGCATGATCCTGGAGTCCCGGGATCAAGTCCCACATCGGGTTTGGCATGGAGCCTGCTTCTCCCTCTGCCTGTGTCTCTGCCCCCACCCCTCTCTCTCTCTCTGTCTATCATGAATGAGTAAATAAACTCTTAAAAAAATAAATAAAAGGAAGTATATTCACTACACTTCCTTGAGTTTACCACAGAAGTTTTCATTCATGCATGTTGTTGACATGAATATTTCAACAAAATCATATTCATCTCATAATGCCATCTTATAATCTTAATATAGCAAATATCTCAATCATAATACCTAATGACTACATAATGTTTCCTTGAGTTACTGTGACATACTTCCCTTTTTTGCATTTAGGTTAACCTATTATTTTTTAAGACTGCTATCATTATCTTCATGCAAATAGTTTTTCACTATTTTAAGAAGATATCTTCAGAAATGAGATAGCTAAGTCAAAAGATAGGAACACTTTGGAGGTTTCTGATAAAAAATATTGTATTGCTTTCCAAAGTGGGTGTATAAATTTACATTCCCACCCTCCGTATAAATGTACTAGTTAAATACAACATTATTCAAAGCAGCTATTCATCTTAAAAGATTGTGGTCAAATACATGTAAGATAATGATTAAAAGGGTAAATTCTAAGTGTACAACTCAGTGGTATTAAGTACATTCATAATATTGTGCAACCATCACCACTATCCATTTCCAGAACTTTTAAAAAATCATCTCACACAGAAACTCAGTACTATTAAGCAATTTCTCATTCTATCCTCCTCACAATCCCTGGTAACTTGTATTCTACTTTCTGTGTCAATGAGACCTAATCTAGACATCTCATTAAAGTGGAATCATGCAATATTTGTTCTTTTGTGTTTGGCTTATTTCACCTAGCAAAATGTTTAAGGTTCATCCATATTGTAGCTTGTATCAGAATTTCTTAACTCTCAAGGCTAAATAATATTCTATCGTATTTACATACCACATTGTGTTTATCCCTTCATCTGTCAAGCATTTGGGTTGCTTCTATCTTTCAACTATGACTATGCTGCTATGAACACTGGTGTACAGCATCTGACTACTTAACTTTCAATTCTTTTGAATATATATAGAGAAGTAGAATTGAGGGATTATAATGGTAATTTTATGGCTAACTTTTGAGAGGTGCTATTCTCTTAATGGTTAAAAAAAATCTGTCTTACTTGGTATCTTATTTTTTATAAGATTTGAGTATTTTCTTCACCTATATTTCTTTACATTACATCTAGGAATTATAATTCATATCCTCTGTCCATTTAACTGATTTGTTTTTCCTCCGTTTTTCTGAAACTAAGTGAGCTCTCTAGTGGGCATCTGCTCCTTTTGCCTAAAGAGTCCTTGCCCTTTCATACCTGGATTTTCCTTTGGGAACTACACCTCTGCTGCAGGCCACACTGGTGGGGCATTCAGCATGTCCCCATTCCCTGGCCAATTATATGGTCCCTGCATTTTGAATTTTAAGAATGAAACAAAAATAGAAAACGATGAAAGGTACATTATGATTCTCACAGCTTCTGAAGAGACTGTTCAGCCAATAGAGTTTCTGTTACTCATATTTACATACATCCTCTGTTTCCCAGCTTAGTTTTATAAGCTGCATCAAAAAACCTAGTTCCAATTTTATAGAATAAAACTGTTAACTAGAGTTGATTATATAGTCCTTAGTCAAATCTCATGTAAACTTTTTGCCAGTTCATTTACTCCTTTTAAATTTTAGTCTTGCTATATTATTTTATATTATAGAAGATTACAGAAGATTAGAAGATTTCAATTTTGTAGAATTTTATACAATTAAGTTTTTAAATCTTTTTATATAACCTCTTCCCAATGCTTTCAAAACTAAAATACTAGCTTCCCTCTGTCAATAATACAGTCAAAATAGAAAGTGAAGAGATTAATCTGAATTGGTCTAATGTATGCCCATTTTCTATTCTTTCTAAATGTTTTTTTTTTCTTCACATTTTCTACTAGCAAGTGACTTGAAATTTTTTTTTTAATATATATAGTTCCAACTATCCAGGCTCTCAGTGTGGTTTGACTTTAGGTTTCATCTTTTGGAGGGATCCATTCCAAAGCTCTTAAAGATAGTGATATTATATAAATACTCTTTTTTTAGGAAGACAGAAAGTAGTAGAAGCATGTTCATAGCTATTCTTTCTCTTAGTTTTATTTCTTTTTTTCTTTCTAGTACAGCAAAGATAAGAATTGTATAGGAGGCAAGAGAATTGCTCTGGATTGTAACCTGGGAAACGGAAGCAACAGCGGGTGCTGGAAGGGTACCCTAATCAGGAGCAAGGGCCATACAGGAGAATGTAGACTAGAAGAGCATCAACGAAGAGTAAAGGACATAAAAATAATGGAGACTCATTTTTGGCCTCATATTAAGGGTCTACCCTCAGTCTAAAACGGATGTAATAACAGTCATATAAAATTTTCTTATCCCATGAAATCTTACACAGAAGCTAAATATCTACAGCAGGTAAGCAGACTGGCTATTGAAATCAAGCCCATCTGATCTCTTTTTTATCCTGCAACAACTCCTATGATACCCTTGGGACTCCTGTCCCAAGGATTCTACAAGACATGATTTGAAAACGACTGGCTTAAAGGAAAAGAGGCGGGATCCCTGGGTGGCGCAGCGGTTTGGCGCCTGCCTTTGGCCGGGGCGCGATCCTGGAGACCCTGGATCGAATCCCATGTCGGGCTCCTTGCATGGAGCCTGCTTCTCCCTCTGCCTGTGTCTCTGCCTCTCTCTCTCTCTCTGTGTGTGTAACTATCATGAATAAATAAATAAAATCTTTAAAAAAAAAAAAAAAGGAAAAGAGGCATCATACATCATGACAATTTGTGCCCAGGAGAAAATGGCTGATGGTGGCTTAAATAACACCACTCTCTCTGAAGGAGTTTTCATTGGAATAGGGATCAAAGGCACTGAGCCTCAATAGAGGAATTTCATAAATCAGAGTGAGTGGAAGAACTGGCAGGGGAGGGAGGTGGTGGCAGGCATGGAACCAATTCAACTGTTTTAAAATCCTAAATGTGTCCTGTCACCTACTTCCTGAAATGTTGGCCACAATTTATTGTGAGTCATCATCATCACAAGACACCTCATATTTTAGAAGCCCTCAGTGCACTCTTCACACAAATTGATACTAATTCTCCCAAATAGGCTACCTCACGTATATACCTAACAAAAATATACATTTGAATTGATTTCTAAGAAAGACTGGGAGAAGAGAATAAACTTTGAATACAATTATGGCAGATTAGGGCAGCCCAGGTGGCTCAGCGGCTTAGCACTGCCTTCAGCCCAGGGCCTGGTCCTGGGATCGAGTCCCACGTCAGGCTCCCTGCACGGAGTCTGCTTCTCCCTCTGCCTGTATCTCTCTCTCTCTCTCTCTCTCTCTTTCTTTCTGTCTCTCTCTCTCTCCCCGTGTCTCTCATGAATGAATAAATAAATAAAAATCTTAAAAGAAAAGAAAAAAAAAACAATTATGGCAAATTCGAAGAGTTTAAGATTTTCTCCAAGTCAATCGAACCAGGCTAACATATTTAAAGGGAAAATGGCAAGTGGTAATTATTTAGCATCTAAGAGACTGACAGAGGGTTTTGTTTACACTCTCAGCCAAAGAACTGAATGTTCCATAATGTCACTGAAGAATGAAATGTCATCTGGTGGAATTAATGGCTGATAAATTTAGAGCAAGTTGAAGAAACTATTACTTTGTACCACATTTAGCCAACCTGTGAAACCCACTATCACAAGAGGCTATGGAGTTGAGCACTGTCATTGGATTTAAAGCAGAATGAATAACTTTATGATTAATAAATGCCAGTTCCAGCTCTTCATGCCATAACAAATGGGAGTGATCAGAATACATATTGCAGAGCACAGGCCAATTGTCGGAGGGGTCAGAAGCAGGGACCTTTCTTTTGTAAACACTGATATGCAACTAGCTGTACAGAACCCAGGAAGCATTTTACCCTTTGGCTAGAACTAGGTTTTGCCTCAGTTCCCCCAAAAGCAGAGTTGTATGTGCTTGCCTAGGAGAAGGGCTGCTATAGACTTAGTATGTAAGATGGTCAGTGCAATGGCTGCGCTGAGCTTCTGCAGCCCATTAGATAAAACCAACAAGTAAACGTAAGTCAAGACTTTTTCTCTTGCCACATTTAGTTACCTGCTCTACCAGCCTCAAACCAGAGTTCATCCTGCAGACCAAAATAAATGGTAGGTCTCCTACTTCTCCATCAGCTGAGTTCCTGTTTCCTGCTAGTCCATTCTTTGCTCTTATCTTCAACAAATGAAGATTCTCTATTTATGAGCATCTGCTCATGATAATCTGGGCAGGATCAGGAAGAAATATGAAGAATCCTTGAACACTTACCTTTACACAGGTGTTCAAAAATCAAAAGTTAAAAGAATCCATCCAGGTAAGTAAGTAATATGTGTGTAGCACCCCAAGGACAGCAATATCTAACTTCCTGAAATAGAATAAATATTTTTAAGTTTTTACTATATTAGAAGTGCACTGCAAAATCTAAACAGATATAGTATTTTGGATTATAGATGAAATTCAAAAAAAAGAAGTTAAAAATTTCTAATTCCAATTGTTCTGAATTAGAACTCTAAAACCACACTTTTTTTTTCCAAATAAGATGTATTAAGTCTTGCATTTCTCTTTGAAATGGACAGTCCAGAATTTGGCCTTAAATCCCTTAATTGGGAACAATATTTAGTTTTATTCCATTGCATAATGGAGAACAGATGTACCCAAATGTAGTTACTTCCAAACATAGTTTGGTTTTATATTTAGAGTAACTACTCTCAAGACATTTAAAGAAATCTAATTTTCCAACACCATCATATTTAGCATTCAGTATATTATCCTGCTATATGATTTTATTTGATAACTCTTCATTCATTCTATCAGTATTAATTGTGAGAAATGAAATGAATGACATTTATTTTCAAGAAGTTTGAAGGCGAGAATCCTGTTTGGGATTAGATCTTCAACACTAGGGCAGCCCCGGTGGCGCAGCAGTTTGGCGCTGCTTGCAGCCTGGGGTGTGATCCTGGAGACCCGGGATCGAGTCCCACATCGGGCTCCCTGTGTGGAGCCTGCTTCTCCCTCTGCCTGTGTCTCTGCCTCTCTCTCTGTGTCTATGAATAAATAAATAAAATCTTTAAAAAAAAAAAGATCTTCAACACTATAATTGGGGTATCCTTATAATGTCCAATTCTGAAGATCAATTTTATTTGTTTTTAAATTTTATTTACTTATTCATGAAAGAGAGAGAGAGAGGGAGGGAGAGACATAGACAGAGGAAGCAGCAGACTTCATGCAGGAAGCCTGATAAGGGACTAGAATCTGGGACTCCAGGATCACGCCCTGAGCCAAAGGCATATGCTCAAACACTGAGCCACCCAGGGATCCCTCAATTTTAGTTTGGCAAGCCACAATCAAATGTATTTTAAAGAAACCGTTTTCCTAAAATTAAGATAATCAAAACATGTATTTTAAAATTTATAAGCTCTTTTACATTTGTATTAATAGATAACTTTTCATGGTAGCATTACTTATTTTATTTGATTTCAAAATAGGACTCCATTGAAATTTCTATGGTTTTTCTCAGTTCATTAACATTTCATCACATTGTCTTTGTATGGTTTGTTCATAATGTTTTCAATTGCATTTTTTTGACAAATAGTTTGCATATTATAAACATGCAGGAGTAGCCTTTTAAGTTTTTATTTGAATTCCAGTTAGTTAACACATAGTGTAATAGTAGTTTCAGGTGTATAATATAGTGATTCTACACTTCCATACAACACTCAGTGCTCATCATAAGTACACTCTTTAATCCCCATTACCTATTTAACCTATCTCACTATCTCCATTCTGGTAACCATCAGTTTGTTTTCTATAGTTAAGGGTCTATTTCTTGGCTTGACTCTTCCCCCCCCCCATGCCCATTTGTTTTTGTTTCTTAAATTCCATGTATGACTGAAATCATATGGTGTTTGTCTTTCTGACTTATTTTACTTAGCATAATACTAACTGGCAAGATTTCATTCTTTTTATGGCTAAGTAATACTCCATTGTGTGTGTGTGTGTGTGTGTGTGTATATATATACACACACCATAGCTTGATCCATTCATCAGTCAATGGACACTTGGACTAATCCCATTATTTGTCTATTGTAGATAATGCTGCTTAAAATATTGAGATGCATGGATCACTTTGAATTAGTATTTTTATATTCTTTGGGTAAATTCCTGGTACTGCAATTGCTGAATTATAGGGTAGTTCTATTTTTTAACTTTTTGAGGAACATCCATACCATTTTCCATAAGGGCTATGCCAGTTTGCATTCCCATCATGGTGTAGGAGGGTTCCCCTTTTTCCACATCCTCAGCAATACCAGTTTCCTGTATTGTTGATTTTAGCCATTTGACCCTTGTGAGGTGATAGCTCATTGTAGTTTTGATTTGCATTTCCCTGATGATCAGTGATGTTGAGCATGTTTTTGTGTGTCTGTTGGCCATCTGGATGTCTTCTTTGGAAAAATGTCTATTCAGGTCTTCGGCCCATTTTTAACTGGGTTATGTTTTTTGGGTGTTGAGTTTGATAAGTTATTTTTAGATTTTGGATACTAACACTTTATCAGTTAGGTCATTTGCAAAAATATTCTCCCATTCTGAAAGCTGCCTTTTAGTTTTGCTGATTGTTTCCTTCACTGTGCAGAAGCTTTTTCTTTTGATAAAGTTCCAATAGTTTATTTTTGCTTTTGTTTCCCTTGCCTCAGGAGACATATCTAGAAAGAAGTTGTTATGGCTGATATCAAAGAAAACACTGTCTGTGTTCTCTAGAATTTTTATGGTTTAAAGTCTCACATTTAGATTTTTAATCCATTTTGATTTTTTATAAGCACTTGAGAGTCATCTTTAATTCAACAAAGAACCTGCTCTCTTCTACTTTAATTATGCTGCCCTACAAGTCTCTCATTTTCTACTTTTGCTAGAGACATAGAACACAAAACATTTCTTACCTCCAGAAAAACAACAGCACAATTATAAAAAAAAGAGAAAGAAAGAACGGACACTTACCCTCAGTGTCAGGCTCATAAAATAAGTATGACTGCTAAAAAACTGAGGACTATACCAGAATAAAGAGAATGGCAATTATAGAGCTTCAGTCAATCACTGCCTTACAATGCTGAGGCCCAGTGTTACTAGAACATGTGAATATTTTCAAGAAGGGCAGATGCCTAGATTTTCTTCTAAGTTGTAAGTGTAGTTAATTACAATTTAAAAAATATAATGCATATCCCTACACACTTATAAGAAGGGCTACAACTCAAGAGAAACAATAACAAGTGTTGGTGAGGATGAAGAGAAACTAGAACTCTCACAACATTGCTGGTCAGAATATAAAATAGTATGGTTCCTTGGAAAATAACAGCTGTTCCCTAAAAAGTTAAAGTTAACATATGACTTAGTAGTCCAACTCCTAAGAATTAATCCAAGAGAAATAAGATCATAGCCCACACAAAGGCATTTTGCAAGAGTTTATATCAGCATTATTCATAAGTGTCCCAAACTGAGAACTCAAATGTCCATCAACTGGTGAACTGACAACATGTAGTCTTATCCATGTAATGGAATATTACTCAACCATAAAAAGGAGTTATCTACTAATATACATTACAGCATGAATGAAATGCAAATCAGTATGTTAAGTGAAAGAAGCCAGATACAAAAGACTACATTTTTTAGGTCTTCATTTATATGAAATGTCCAGAATAGGAAAAGTCTATGCATACAGAAAGGAGACCAGTAATTGCCTAGGGCTTTAGAGATTAAGGGGAGCTGGAGAAAAATGGGGAATGACTGATAATAGGTAGGGGATTTCTTTTAAGGATGGTAAAGACATTCTAAAATTGATTGTGCTGAACAACTCTGTATATAACGAAAAAATATTGAATTATAGACTTTGAATGGGTGAATAGTGTGGTATGTGAATCACAGCAATAAAATTGTTTTCTTAGAAATCAAGAAAATGGGAAGCAAAAGTTTTAGGACAGGAAAGAAGAGAAAGCAGAAAAAAATTGGAAACAGCAGAAGCGAAACACCAAAGCTGGGCATTATATATTGTGTCCTGGTGAGTAGAATCTGGCAAAGTCTAGCATTGGTGGAATAAATGGCTGATGGACTGAATGTTTGATTGATATTGGAATTTAATGCTTGATATCAATAAGAAGGAGCAGCGTCAATACTGGTGACCACCATGAGTAACCAGCACTTCCCCTAGCTCTCTGAATGCCTGATCTCAGAGGGAGGAAACCCCAATAATTAAGAAAAGTAAATGTCCTATAATTTATGTGACTGGGATCTCAGTATAGATTAAATTTCATTTAGAGGAACACTGAAATAAAGCTGGCTGAAAAGGCATTTTGATTATCTCATTGATATTCATTCTCTTCCTTGCCCTTTGTGTATAGCATGGAGGTTGGCAGAGACTGATCCCCAAGGACAAGCCCTCATCAGTCTGAGTCAGTGTAAACCCATCTCCTTTGCCACATTACAAACCTACCACACATAAAATGTTTTGCTTTGTACTATCATAATATATAACTTTTGAAAAGTCAAACCATTTTCAGACAGTTCCTTTTACCTACATGAGGCTTTTTCTTTTTATCCCAAAACATCCTAAAAATAGCATAATATAAATAATATTTTCAAGATTATGGCCCAGGAAAGGACATGCTCATCAATTTACTCAACACAAACATTTTCAAGTCAGATAATATCATATGGATCTAATTTGAATTGCGTGCACTGTTTAGATACACCCAGAACAATTGACTTTGCTTATGTATGCCAAATGAGGGGGATAAAGAGTTTGCGGCTTCAACAACTCTTAGTCTATTGTGAACATGCACTATTTACATGTGTTTCAAAGCATTCTTTTGCTTAGCCTTTACTTTATCCTGAAAGTGTTTTTCTATGATACAACCTTTAAGTGTTTTTGGAGTGGAAGATCAACTGAATCCCAAAAGATTGGATGTTTGGAGAAAATGATAAAGGATAAATTATTACACCCTATTTTATGTATAAATTTATATTTATTTTCAAATATTGTTGGATTTTTAAAGATTCTGTAAAGTTATTTGCATTATTCAATTGTTATTTGGAATTGGGATAAAATGCCTCACAAATTCTCTTTTAAAATAAATGGAAATTGGTTTTCCACTTAATGACTTTCCACTTAACATCAGGGGTTTCAGGAAGGAATTAGTCATAAACGAGGGACAGGTGTAAGTGTTCCCAGTAACAAAGTGAATCTAAGCATGACATTTCTTTGGCTGTAAAATGTGGTTTTGTGTTCTTATTGACTTTGATTGGGAATAGTTCAGGAAATTCATCCGATGGTTAGAAAAGGGACTGCCTCTTTCTACCTGAATGTGGATAATGAAGTGT